TGTTTAAGGACGAATAGTTCACTTAAAAGAATAGAGAGTTCAAGAAATAAAGCAATACACATATAGTTGTTTAATTTTCGATAGAATGCTAAACTAGTTCAATGGAGATATAAAAGTCTTTTAAACAACATTTTCTGGAACAACTGAGTACCTTCATGGAAAAAGACAAACCTTGACCTCTCTACCTCATAGACCTAAATATAAAACCCAACACTATAGTGTATTTTAACGGAAAGATAGGAAAATATTTTTGCAACCTCAGGAAGATAAATTTGTGTATTTGTTAAACAGGTTACGAATTTCTTTTAAAATAAAAAAATCACAGATTGGGCTTCACCAACATTAAATCCTTCTGTTGATCAAACGATACCATTATAAAAATAAACAGAGAAGCCAGAGTCTGGGAAAACATTTATAACATAATTTGACAACAGACCTGCATCCATGTTGTATTAAGAAATCCTACAAATTATTGATTTAAAAAGCAAACAAAACGAAACCAACGATCCAATTTAAATAATGGGCAGAAGTTTTGAACAGGTAGGTCACAAAAGAAAATATATGACCTGCATCCATGTTGTATTAAGAAATCCTACAAATTATTGATTTAAAAAGCAAACAAAACGAAACCAATGATCCAATTTAAATAATGGGCAGAAGTTTTGAACAGGTAGGTCACAAAAGAAAATATATGACTGGCCAATGGTCACATGAAAAGGTGCTCAGCATTTTTAGCCAAAAGGGAAAGGTAAATTAAAAGCATACTTAAATGCTATTTCATATCCATTAAAATAGCTAAAATTCAAATACTAACAACACAAATGTTGGCAAGGAGATAGAGCAACTGGAACTTTCACTTATTGCTAATGGGAGTGAAATAACTTACAACCACTCTGGAAACCTGTTTGGCAGTTTTTCATAGCATCACGCATATGTGTACCCAAGCTCTGGCAGTTCCATGCTGGTACTTACCCAAGAAAGATGATAATATACGTTCGCTAAAAGTACATGAATGTTAACAGCAGCCTTACTCAAAACAGTCAAAAACCAAAAACAAGCCAAATGTCCAATATATGATTCCATTTATATGAAATTTAGGAACAGATAAAAACTAAACCTTATTGATAGAAATCAGAAAGTTGATACCTAGGATGGACAGAGGAATGACTGGAAGGGAACATGACAGAATTTTCTTAGAAAACAAGCCAAATGTCCAATATATGATTCCATTTATATGAAATTTAGGAACAGATAAAAACTAAACCTTATTGATAGAAATCTGAAAGTTGATACCTAGGATGGACAGAGGAATGACTGGAAGGGAACATGACAGAATTTTCTTAGATGATGAAAATGTTTTATATTTTGTTTGGGGTGTTGGTTGAATCTATATAAAATTGTCGATATTCATCGAGTGAAATATCTAAGGTCTTTGCATTTTTTTTCTTGGTGGCTGGTCTGTATGGGGATCCAAACCCCTGACTTTGGTGCTATAACCTGACCTTTGTATTCTATTATAGGTAATTATACATCAATAACATATTTTTAAAATCAGATTTCAGTTCAGTGGTATTCTTCCCTCAAATCTATAATCACAGGGTGATAATGAGAAAAACATTAGACAAATCCAAGTTGAGGGACATTTTACAAAATATATGACTGGTCCTCAAAACTGTAAAGATCAGGTAAAACAAGGCAAGACTGAAATACAGTCACAGAGCAGAGAAAACTAAAGAGAAAAATGCAATGTTGTATCCTGGGTTAGGTCCAGAAATAGCACAAGTACATTTGTGTAAAAACTGGTGAAATATGAATAACGTCTGGAGTTTAGTAGTAATGTATCAATGTTGGTTTCTTAGTTTTGATAAATGTACCATGGTAACTTAAGGTTTTAATATTGGGGTAAACAGCATGAAGGGAATAAAAGAACTTTATTTTATTTTTTCTATAATTCTAATATTATTCCAAAACAAAAGCTTTACTTAAAAATCATATCACAAAAGCATAAACATAAATTTTCCACTAATAAAAACTAACATAAGATACATAAGGTTTTTATGAAGTTAATTATAAAGCTTATATTTATAGAGAACAAATATAAATGCAGGTATATAATATTCCTGAGTTATAAGATTTAACATTGTAAATAATCAGTTTTTCCAAAATGATCTAAAACTACAGTGCAGTTATCCTAAAAATCCCGAAAGATTTTTAGTAAATGCTACTGGATATGCGGCAAACACATAAAAAAGCAAAATTAGATTCTTATTTATACCACCTCAAAAATCAATTCTAAATGGATTAAGACATATGTAGGCAAAACAACAGAATTCTTAGAGGACAACACAGAAGAGTATCTTTATGACTTTGGAGTAAGGGAGGAAAGAATAAATCATAAAGGGAAAGGCTAAGAAATTGGGTTTCGTTAAAAATTAAATAATTTTTTGTTCATTAAAACACACCATAAAAATAGTGCAAAGAAAAGTCACAAAATGGAGGAAGATATAAAAATTAACATAACTGAAAAAGGATTAGGTATCCAGAATAAATAACTCTTTAAAGCGTTATCATAAAGAGACAATCTAATACAAAAAGAAGTAAAAGATCACAGGCATTTTACATAAAAGGAAGCCATAATGGCCAATGAGAGTTCATTGGACAATCACCTCATTTGTTAGCAGGAAAATACAAATTGAACTACAATGAAAAATACAAATTAATCTACAATGAGATATCAACAGAATGAGATATCAGAACAAGCCACATACTGGCAGATGGTAGAATGGTGGTTACCAAGGTGTGTGGGGTGGCACGAAGGAGGAAGGAGGGATGTAGGTCAGAGGGTACAAAATTTCATTTAGATAGTGGGAATGAGTTGAGAGATCTATTGCACAACATGGTGACTATAGTTAATAACAAATGTATTGTACTTCTTATTCTTGAAAATCTCTGAGAGTAGATTTTTTAAAAAATGCATATGCATGTGCATTACCTCACATACCGTTTTTTGTGGTATTTTTAAAAAATCTACTCACCACAAGAAATGGTAAGTATGTGAGGTAATGCATATGTTAATTAGCTCAATTTAGCCATTCTATTATATACACATATTTCAAAATATCATGCTGTATGTGATAAATATATAAAACTTTATTTGTCAATTAAAAAGTAATTAAAAATAGAACCCTGAATAATATGTTGTGTTTACTTGCACATTGTTTCTCTCTCCCACTACACTATAGATTTTATACAAGCGGAGACTATTGTCTTCCTTGCTCACCACCAAAGTCCCAGTTGCCCAGAACAATGCCTGGCATATAAGCACTTATTACATATTTGTTGAATGAATAAACTACCTAATTAAAATTACCCATGACACACTTTTATAATTGTCTATTTGTGTGAAACCATAATTAAATATGATGGCATCACTAGTACCTAGCAAACTGCCTAGCATGTGATGGGTATTCAATAAATTAAAATATGTACACAGAAACAATTTGTTTTTCTGCAATGAGGTCTCTATTTCAAAGTATCTTTCATTTGAAAGTCAGAGCTAATAATCGTTAGAATTAATTTGGTCTTTACTTTTGTCTGCTTAAAACATTCCCGTAATACTAGTAGTAGTATTTTTCTTTGGTGCCCAATATGTGGCCAGGCACTATTCTGAATGCTTTTCACACACTAACTCATTTAATCCCACAACAACTCATCCTCATTTTGCAAATAGGCAACACACACAGAAGTTAAGTAATTTTGCTAAGACTACACAGCTAGTATCAGTAGAGCAATGATTCAAACCTGTGTGATCTATGTTCTTGACCATATATTCCTAGAATGCCTCCAGTTGATCTTGACAGCCTATGGTGGGAAATCCAAAACCCTTAGGGTGCAAATGAAGTCATCATAATCTCACCTCCAGAGTCTTTTTCTATTACTCCCTTCTATGAATATTAGGCTTCAAACATAACATTTTTACTGAATATGTTGCTTCCTTTCAGAACTGCAAGTCTTTGAACATAAGATGTCCTTATTCTCTTTACTTCTGGCAAACTTCTATTTATTTGTCAACACCCAGTTTGAAATGTTTTCCCTGTGAAGCCTTCCTCAGTTCAGGCTCCTTTGTCCTCACTTCGACTTTGTGAGCTCTTGTCATACTGTGTTGTAATTAATGGTTTATATGTTTTTCTTCTCTATTAACTTTGGGATCATCTAGGTCTGGGCTCATATCTTATTTGTTTATAAAGCCTCAGTGTCAAAACTAGAACTGCTATATATATAGCACTCAGTAAGTGCATATTAAACAAATAAAGGAACACTGAGTTCAACTTAAGTTCAATATTCAAGACGTATAGTGAAACTTTGACATCCTATCAGTTTGTCACCATTTATCTATTAATGCTATAAAGCCACTAAAGTATTTATTTTACTTAGTTATATCACAGTTTTAAATTTCTACTGGTCTCATGTAACACTGTTTTGACACTCATCACGTCACATAAAGTTAATTATGTGCTTGCCTTTCTCAACCGTGCTACACAAGGACTTTGAAGGTAGTGGTCATATCCTAATATCCCTATAGAAGGGCTCAGAGCTTTTATTATAAAGGCTTAATAAATCCTTGTCAAAATGAATTTAATTTCAATTAGTTGGTTTGGTTAGGTTATCTGAGTATCTCTTATCTCCAAAAATCTTTCCTTTAACAAGCCTGGTAACTTGCTTTCAGTTTTTCTTATGCCATTTATCTTCATCTCTAACAACAACCCCAATGCAGGGAATGTAGGTTGTTGGGCTAAAGATATGGAGAAACAAGTGTAGTTTTTCAGTTTTCCCACAGTTTAAACTCTAATGAGATCAGATAATTTAAACTTGGATCCATACTATTGTCCATCAAATTAAAAAATAACAGTGAATACTCTTTCAAATTTAAAGCCAACAATGCTAATGAAGATATCAAAAGAAATTATTTGAAAAGACTGCTATAAAGTATTACACTCTACCTGTAACTGGAATTTCCCAGTATGAAAATTTCGAGAAATAAAAACACTTTGAGAATGAGATTTAATCTTCCTCTTTGATGGTCTTTGCCTGCATCTCTCATCAGTTGCTTTAAATTTGGAATTTCGAGATATTTCCCTGAAAAATATTTTATAGAGAATATTATTAAACATGAATTAGATTATGAGCCAATTAAAATTGTTTCCACTATTTATAAAGGTTTAAAATCAGAATAAGTATTTACAGCATATTTACTTAGAAAAACACAAATCAGTCTATGTACTCCCTTCTCATATGTTATATTTCATTACATGTATCTTATTCATAGAATGTAAATTATGCTACTTATTTTATTCATAGAACATAAATTAAGCTACTTATGTGGGGTTAATATTTCCAGCTTGAATATTAACGAGGAATCTTTGATATACTTTTTTCTGGCTATGAGAAAATTAATCTACTTTAATGTTAACTAGCCTTTTCATAAATTTGTCTTTAATGGCAAAGGAAATTAAATGAAATGCTGCTCATTGGTCAATTTTGGTATTTAATAATATCTCCGGCAAAAAGCGAGAAGAAGGAAACTGAATTGAAACTAATGACTTACAATGGAAGAGTACTTGTGATCTTTGACTATCCATGCAAACCCCAATAAGTGAGAGAGGATTAAAAAATAACAAAGTGGCAAATTAAACCCCAGCCGATCAAAGACGTTAAGTATTAGAGAATGTAGTTTCAAATAGTCATTCTAAACTTACAGATTTAAAAAATAATGCTTCCAGACAATGGAATATTATTCAGCACTAAAAAGAAATGAGTTATCAAGCTATGAAAAGACATGGAGGAAACAAATGCATATTACTAAGTGAAAGAAACCATCCTGAAAAGGATACATACTACATGTTTCCAACTGTATGATATGCTGGAACAGGCAAAACTATGGAGATGGTAAAAAGATTAGTGGTTGCCATGGGTTGGGGGGAAGGAGGGACAAAGAGATGAAGCACAGAGGATTTTTAGGGTAGTAAAAATACTCTATGATACTATAGTGGGGGATACATGCCATTATAAATTTGTCTAAACCCATAGAATGTACAACACCAAGAGTGAACCCTAATGTAAACTACAGATTATGGGTGACAATGATGTCAATATAGGTTCATCAATTACCCCCCTCTACCCCCCAAATAATAATAGTAGTGCTGATTGCCATTTCTTCTTTCAGAGGTTCTAGAAAATTTCCATATTAATCCAAGAGATCATATTATTTTACATAATGAGGTCTTAACAGTCAGGAATCACTCATTTATTGAATTTGATTCTCTTAAATATTGAGTACTTACTACGTGCCAGGCATTATGCTGGGTATTGTATATATAGTGGTGGGGAAAAAAGCACAGCTACTACCCTCATGAAACTGTCATTGCTTTCATGGAGCTTAAACACTTGTAAGGAAGACAGATGTTAGTAAAATAATCACAGAAAATGAAAAATTAAACTGTGGAAAATGCTATCAAGGAAAGCTATCTGGTATTGTGTGAGTACGTAACGAAGGGAATGAACCCGATGAGAGGTCAGGAAAGGCCTTCCTGGGGAAGGGATGATTGAACTGGGCATCCGAAGAAACAGTAGTAACTATTAGAGTGTGGTGAAAGAGGGGAGATGTGGAAGTAAGAATATTGTAGGCAGAGACAATATCAAGTATAAAGACGTAGTGGCCAGGTGAAGACAATGTAGCAGAAACACAGAAAGCAAGACGGAAAGTGGGAGCCAAAAACCCGGGAGTATGCACGTAGGCCCTTAAAAGTTATGTCATTCTTGGGCTGGCCGGTTAGCTCAGTTGGTTAGAGCACACGAGGTCACAGGTTTGGATCCCTGTACTGGCCAGCCGCACAAAAAAAGAAAAGAAAAGAAAAAAGTTGTCATTATAAACATTAAAAGAAAAAAGAAAATAGAAGAAAACCTATTAAGGAAAAATAAAACCCAAATAAAAGGAAAAAGTTATGTCATTTTCGTCTTTATCCTAAAAGCAACGGGAAAGCCTTTAAAATATAGGGGGTGGGAAAGAAGAGTACGGTAACGTGATGAGATTTGCATTTGGAAAATATCCGGCTGAAGTGTGAAGAGCTTAAGTAAGGACCGTGGTGAGGGGAGGGGTCAGCTGTAACTCCCAGTGCTGTATGTGGGGTTAATGATAACTTGGATAGGGCAGTAGTGGTGGTAACAGAGAGGTAAATAGATTTGAGCAATTTGTGAGGTAAAATAAATAGAACTTGGTGACAGTTCAAATTTAGTGAGGATGGGAAAGAGAGGGAAATGTCAAGTCTGTCTCTCATTTTTAGAAAAAAAAAAAAAAAAAAAAAACACCACCACTTTCCCTGGCCCTACATTCTCCTCCAGCTGCTGTCCCAGTATTTATCAGCTCCTCTGCACGGGGGGCAGGGGGAGCTTCTTGAAGGAGATACCTACATTTTATTCAGTTTTTTGCACCTCAAAGGTGGAACCCATCATTCCACCAAAATTGTCCATCAGAGTCCCCAATGACATCCATGTTGGCAAACTGAAAACTCATTTCTCTGTCCTCATCTTTCTCAAATTAAGTACCTTCAGCCTAACTGGCGACTGCTTCCTTCTTGAAACATTTTTAAACGTTGACTTCCTGGACACCACACCCTTCTGCTTTTCTTTCTTCTCAGATGTTGTTGATTCTTCCTATTTTTCTGCTAGATTTCTAAATGTTGGTTGTGTGAAGGGCACAGTCGTGGGTCCTCTCTCAACAATCACTTCCTGGTTAGTCTCATTCAGTTCTACGACTTTAGATATTCACTATATATCAAATCTTCAGCCCTGATTTCTCTCCTGGAGTTTATACATATAACCAACTGCCCATTTGACCTTTCCACTTGGTTATCTAAAAGGCTTTCAAACTACATTCAAAACACATCTCCTAATTTATCACCACTCCCCCAAAACGCTCCCCCCTCTAATCACCTCCTCATCTCAGTAAATGGCACAACCAACTACTCAGCTGCTTATGGTAGAAGTTTAGGTGTCAGCATTAATCCCCCCATTTCCACCCAATCTAGCAACAAGCTCTGCTGACTCTCCCTGGAAATCAGAGCCCATATGCAATCCCTTCTTTTCATTTCTACTTGCATGTTAGTTCAAGACACCATAACCTCTCAACTGGACTATGCAATAACGTCCTTACTTGTCTCTGCTTTCACTCTTACTCCATTAAAATTCAGCCTTCACAGAAAGGTAGGAAATATCTTTTAAAAATATAAATTAGAACTCTCTCATACATTGCTGGTGGGAGTGTACATTCACTTTGGAAAACTGCTTGGAAGCTTCTTACAAGGTGAATCATATGATACAACAATTCTACTTGTAAGTACTTACATAAGAGAAGTAAAGACATGTTTACAAAAGATTTATACAAGAATATTCACAGCAGCCATTTTCCTAAGAGCTAAGAACTGGACATCATCCCAATGTCCATTAACAGAATGGATACCCAAACTGAGGTATATGCATACTGTGGAATGCTACTCACCAATATAACAATGAACCATGGATAAACGCAACATAAATGAATCTAAAAAATATTATGTTGAGTAAAAAAAGCAGACATAAAAAGTTCATATGATCCCATTTACATGAAGTTCAAGAATTGGCTAAATTAATCTATGGTGATAGAAATCAGAATAATGGTTGCCTCTGAGGTAGGAGGTAGGGAGTGTGGAAAGGAGCCTGAGGGAACTTTCCGGGTGATGGAAAAGTTCTATATCATGGCTGGGGTGGTGGTTACATAGGTGTATATTTGTTGAAATTTATCACTGTACATTTAAAATCTATAAACTTTATTATATGTAAATTACACCTCAATTTTAAAGAAGTGCTATTAAAATGTAAATCAGCTATAGGAGACATTATAGAGTCTTTAAAATGGGGATAATATTATTTCTACCTCATGGGATTAAGCCTAAATGAGATAACATATAAAGCACTTAAAATAGTGCATAGCATGTAGTAAGCACTTAACGTCAGCTATTATGATGATAATGCCATCCCCTTATTTAAAACCTTCCAATAGCACAAATAATAAAATCCAAACTCCATATTTTTTCAGCCTGCAAATTCCTGTGATCCGGCCCTTACCTGCCTCTTCAATCTCATGATTATTTTCCTCTCTTTCTACAAATTATTCACACAGCCCTTCTTTCTGTTTATTGAACTATACTGAGATCATTCCCACTTTGGGATCTTTGTACTTCCTATGCTTTCAGTTTAGAAAGCTCTTCCTGCACAAGGTCTTCGTATGGCTGGATCCTTTTAACTCAGGTCTCATTTTAAATAAGAACCTAATTGTACAGACATTCCCTGACCACTTTATCTGTTTTGTCATTGTCTATCTCCTGCAAGTGGCATTGCAAGTCTATGAAACCGGAATCTTGTCTGATTCGTTCACAATTGTATCCTCAGTACACAGAACAATGGCAGACACCCAATAAATATTTGTTGGCAGAACAAATAAGTGAATAATTTCTAGGTTTCTGATTTGTGCATGTAAATGGATATGTATGTATTCATTTGCTGAGATTGGGAACACTGGAAGAGTATGTGAGAAGATCATGTTACAATTTATATTTCTTAAGCATTATGCAATGCAAATAGTGAACTGGTTAAATAATTAGAAACAACAAATTTTATGCTTAAAAGGAACTAATGTGTCAAGTCATCTTTTTTCCTATTTCTGGCAAGAGACTACTTTTAGACCATACCACAGGATTCTGTCAGCTCTTTTCTTGAATACAGCATCTCCTAGAGAAAGTGTCTTTCCCTCTCAGTAATGTTTATAACCTCTATGTTGGGAGCTGGAAATTTAAAAAAAAATTTTAGCCTTCTATTATAATCACACCCATGTCTTCTGGAAAATAAAATAGATCTTGCTATTCCTCAAAATTTTAATGCAAGACATTATAGATTGAATGTCCCCCCAAACTCATTGAAGCTTAATCCCCACTGTAACTGTTGAAAGTGGGAAATCCTATTGTGTTAATTGAAAGGTGGGGCCTTGAAGAGGTGATTAGATTGTGAGGACTGTGCCCTAGTAAATGAATTAATTCGTTGATGGTTTAACGGTGGTCATGTGCATGGTTCTGAGGGCTTTAAAAGGAGAGCACATGAGAGTCTCTCTCTCTGCTCTGCCATTCTTGCCATGTGATACCCTGCATCACTGTGTAGTCACCTCACCAGATATGTTCCCTGGACTTTGGACTTCCCAGCCTCTGAAACTATAAGCAAAAGTATTGTTTCTTTATAAATTATCTACTTTCTGGTATTTTGTTATAAGTAACAGAAAAAGAGTAATACACATGAAGATTGTTATTATATTACTCTAGTACTTCTTTTTTCAAGCTATTTAAAACATGTAAAGCCTCCCCTCCCCAACCAAAGGGTCTATAACCAAATCCCAAATTACAGAATCAATACATCATAGTTATTCAACTTTGATACCATCTGAAAAAGTCCTTCATTGAATTTTTTTAAAAGAAAAAGAGTTAAACAAATATTCAAATAAACCTTACCTTCGTTTGCAAATCAGGAACCACAAAGCTGATGCCAAAGCAAAGAAACCAATTCCCAAAGTAACAGCACCAGCAGCCAGAAAATAGGTTAAGTGGTTAAAAAAACCTATACAAATAAATTATAAAAGATTATTTCATGCATGCATCTCCATTCTCTAAGTAAAACTAAATGATATAACAATTCAAATAATATAACATAGTATAGTGTTAAGACATTAACCAGGAGATTAGGAAAACTGAATTCTAGTCCTGTATAGTTCTAATAAACTTCAAGGCTCTAAGTTATAGTGTTACAAAGGGCCTCCTTCTGATAGGACCCAGGGCACATTTCTCTGACTCTGCCAGGATTTGAAACCTAGGTTTCGTTTGTTTTTCTACAGCTGCTACATCCTTATTTTCTTATCTGGTTTTCTCCCTTCCTAGTCCAGCTATTAATTTTTGTGATTCCTCTAGTAACATTCCTGGCAGTCCTCCAGCATATAAGACATTTTTCATTTTAAGATTTGTATTATCAGTCACTATAAGAAAGCAGATGAGGCTAATTTAATAAAGTAACAAATATGAGGACTGTTTAAGATCTTGGAAATCAGGGTTTCTGGTCAAGATGGTGGAATAGACAGTCCTCAATGTCACTCTCTCCCACAAATCAACCAATTTACAATTATGAAAAAGCAACAACAGCCAAGCTGGGGCTATTAGAGCTCAGGGGAAGAGGAGCAGAGATCTACAGAATTCGAGAAGCCATGATGAGAGAAAGAAAAAACCTGCTCTGACCATTTCAGGCTGTGGACACTTTAAGTCTGGAGCTGCTGAGCACACAGAGCAGGAGCTGGCAAAAACCACAGCCATGCCCTTTGGATGAAGTTGCTTGGAGGCAACAGGGGAGAAGAGGTTCTTAGTGGCCCCCTGGCCAGCAAGACCACTAATAGGGTTCCTGTGGACCCAATTAGGAACAAGGAGCCACAACAACTGAAAAAAGGAGCCACTCAGAGGCCAGTGAGTCATCTCAAGGGACTGGCACACAGCCTGTCCCATGAGAAGTGTTTGCAGCATGGGCGGTGGGGGAGATGGGCTCATCGGGGGAACACTGCGGCACAGCGAGGACAGCTGACCAGCACCCCAATCAGTGAAGGACCACTCAGAGGAAACTGGTCAGGAATATAGAATTGCATGGGGTGCAGTGTGATGAAAAGACTCAGGACCAGATCAGAGTTTCTACACAACCCAGGTACACTGGGTCTCTGGAGAGCCGGAAATACCTATAAAGTCAACCATTAAAACCTGAACTGCACAAAAAGCCTTCCCTAGGGAATCAGCAGCAAAGCAGCAATTTAGCCAAACCACGCAGCTCAAGTACTGGTCCTCACAGGAAGTTTCACCAATTTAGAAGTAAGCAAAGGACAAAAAATTAGACCAGATCCCCCCTCCCACAACCAGACATACCACCAGCATCTTGGGGCCTGGATGCTCCCCCACTACAACCAGGCACACCACCAGTGCCAAGGAGCATGCCAAATACATCACATCCATGTGGGTGGCCCACCACAGCCACCACAGTAACTACAGCTGCCATGAAAATGGCTAGACACCACAACCACCACATAGATGGTCCGCCAGCCACTGGAGTGCATTGACACAAGAAGAGTCACCAGCAGAGACCAAAGAAAAGAAGAGGACGTCTCTCTCCACAAAGCCCATTCCAGAGTGACAGAAGAAGCATCTGCTCTACAATAATATTGAGGGACCTGAACGCACCTCTCAGCATTGGACAGATCATCTAGGCAACTAATCAACAGAGTAACCATTACTCTTTAAGGAGAGAAGAAATCTAGGGTAATTAGAGAGAGGAGCGGGGAGGGAGAGGCGGATGGGGAGAGATTGGACAAGGGGTGTAAAGAACAAGTACAATTTGTAAAAATATATATGCTAGTAATATTGATTTGATCAACATATGTCAATGTTGAACCCAAAAAATATGTATAATCAATTATGATTAAATAAAAATTTTTTAAAAAAAGATCTTGGAAATGTTTAAAAGTTTTATCTCTACTTTACGTCAGGAACTGTGAAAGATTATGGTTAAAAGTTAAATGAAAGCAACATAAAATAATAGCATATTAAAAACTTTATAATTGGAAAAGCCTATAGGAATTATATGGTATTACTCCTTCATTTTACAGATAGGAAAATTGAGGCCCACATCAAAGAAGCAACTGAATTAAGGTTATGCAGCAAATTAAAGCCAGTCCTCTTTTTTTTCTATTATTTTATCCCTGCTCCCAATCATCTTAATGCTGATATGTACTAAAAAGAATTAGGAATAATGAAAGCAAGAGGGAATTATAGCCAGGTGGTCAAGTCTTCATTAAGATTCTGAAATCTGCTACTTAAGCAAATTGTAGAAAGCTTTCACAGAAGGCTATACAGAATTTGAAGGGCCGTAAGACAACTAAGGAGTGGGAAAAAGCATTGAGAAGTATAAAACTAACTGAATTTCTTTTTGTATGAACATGTCATCAAGTTCCACTAAGGATATGACATGAAAATGACTTCGTTGCTTCCATAGTTTTGTTGTTTCCTAAGCAATTTCCAGGTTCAAGATACTGCCTCTCAAATCTTAGTTTTTTCTTTGAGTTCAGAAATGGTACAAGAAAAAGTTATATAAAGCTATTTATCAAAGTTGTACTTCTAATACAAAAACCTCTAAGTACTCCAAACGAAGAAGTCAATTAAATAAGTTATGATGATGTTTTATATGGAAAATATAGTATTCTTTAATTATTTAGTGCAAAGTTTCTCAATCCTGACACTATTGATCTTTCGGACTAGATAATTCAGTGGTGTGAGGAAATAACAGCTAATATTAAATGATGAAAGCATAAGAGATAAAAATCAATATTTAAAAAAACTAGAAACATAGTTGTTCTCAAATTTAAGATAAGGATCTCTATGGACAAAAAAGAAAAGCAACACAGAGAAACAAGTAGGGGCATGCTGGGCTCTGAGATCTGGTAGCTAAAATTAGCCAGAAGAAACAGAGAAGATAGCTGAGAGAAGACCTAGTCCAAACCATCCTCTGGCACAATGAATGAATCTATATTACTGAAATCTCTGAGAGAAGAGAGTCCTGAGCCACCAACAAAAGACCAATTTAAAAAAAGGGGCAATGAGGTCTCTCAGAAATGAAAATTTCAAAAATTAAAAAATGGAATAAACTGTTTTTTGAAAACAAAGAATTAATGAAATGAAAGATAATAATAAGAAATTCACCCAATTATATAAAGAAATGAAAAACATGATAAAGAAATTATTATGAGACATGGAAAAGTTTAAGAGTATACATATAACATAAGACTAAAAGGAGTTCCAAAAGAGAGAATAGAGAAGTAGCAGAGGAGCGATACTCAGAGATATAACCTAATGATTTTTTTATGTTAAAAAATTTTTTTACATTTACACTAGTAAAATTCACATTTTTTTGGTGTGCAGTTCTATAAGATTCGACAAATACTTATAAAAGAGCGTTTATTCACCACCACAACCAAGTTACAGAAAAGTTCCATCATCCCACCAAATTTCCTCATACGGCCTCTTTGGGGTCGCACAGTAAATGCTGGCAACTACTGATTATTTTCCATTCTTACACTTTTCCCTTTTCCAGAATGTCATATAAATGCAGTCATACAGCAGGTGGTCTTTCAAGTCTGGCTTTTTTTAGTCAGCATAGTACTTTTGAATTTCATCCATGTTGGCACACGTATCAGTAATTCCTTTCTTTTTATTGCTGAGTAACATTCCATTTCATACATGTACCATGGTTTGTTTATTCCCCAGATGAAAGACATCTGGGTTGTGTCCAACTCTGGGTGATGAGGAATAAAGTTACTATATACTTGGATATAGGTCTTTGTTTGAACATAAGTTATTATTTCACTGGGGTCATGTAACAAGAACATATTCAAATTTATAAGAAACTGCCAAACTCCTTTCTAAAATGGATGTACTATCTTGCTTACCAACCAGCAGTATACAACAGTTTTTCCAGTAGCTCTGTATCATCACCACCACTTGGTATTGTCAGTTTCACTTTAGCCATTCTAACAGATGTTTAGTGGTACCTCATTGTGGTTTTAATTTGCATTTCCTTAGTGAATAATAATGTTGAACATCTTTCCATGTGCTTATTTGCCATCCATACACCTTCTTCAGTGAAATATCTGCTCAAAGTTTTGCTAAGTTTTGAGAATTCTTTGTATTTTCTGGATACAAGTCCTTGGTCAGATATATGATTTGGAGGTATTTTCTCTCAGTCTGTGATTTATCTTTTAAATTCTCTTGGTGTCTTTTACAGAGCAAAACTTATTACTTTTGGTGATATCCAATTTATTGACTTTTTTCTTTTATGGGTTGTGCTTATGGGTCCTGGTTAAGAACTCTTTGCCTAACCTGGGTCATAAAGATTTTCTCTGACGTATTCCTATAGAAGTTTAATGTTTTACATTTAACTTACGACTCATTTTAGATTAATTTTTGTATAAAGTATTAGGTATGGGTCAAGGTTTTTTTTATTGCATATGGATATCCAAAGATTCCAACACCATTTGTTGAAAAGAGCTTTTTCCATTGAGTTGCCTTTGCAACTTTCTAAAAAATAAATTATAAATTAGTTATAGTTTGTGTCAGTCTATTTCTGGACTCTCTATTCTATTCCTTGATTATGTAACCTATCTTTCCACTGATAACAACAACAACAACATCTAACATTTGTTAGGTATTGCCAGGTATTATTCAAAGTGCTTTATATATATTAACTTATTTAATTCTCACAACACCATATGAGTTAAGTACTATTGTTTCTCAAAGGCATACAGCTGGTAAATGGGGAAATAGTAAATTAAATATTGCTAAGGTCCTTACTTAACTATATTGAGTAAAGAATAGAGACACTGGATATCTTTAGATTTTGTTAGAAAAATAGTTAAGTATGAATATTAAAGATTTAAGGGTATCATGAAAGTGAATATCTAAATGGCCAATAAACATGAAAACTTTATTAATCATCAAAAAAGTGAACATTAAACCACAATGAGATACTATGACCACTAC